TGGGACAGAGTCTCCGTCGTTCAGTACTGGCATTCACCCCGGTGAATGAGCCACTCGCCACAATCCGCATCAAAGAGAAATTTTTTAACATATCTCGTCCCGACTGAAGAGAAGGACGATTTGGCCAAAGATGCCTTTTATGAGCGCCTGGAGCATACTTACGAGCGCTGCCCTCGACATGATATGAAAATCGTACCCAACATCGTCTCGGACGATTATCATGTTGCAACGAAAATACGCATGCGCCCCTTTAAATCGAAGAACGCCCGTCTACAAGTACAAGGAAACTTTGACGTTGAAAAGCTGCAATCGCAACAGACTGACGAACGATTTTCTACCTTGCACTGCTGGTCTCTGAGAACACTTGGTATACGGGACATGTGGGACGGCTTTTCAAGTTCTTTACGTACAGCTGCAAATGAGGCTATTGGATTTCGTAAAGGTCGCATGAACAGCTGGTACGATGAGGACTACCATGTCGCAGTGGAGAGAAAACAGACTGCCCGCCTTGCAACCTTGCGATCGACCACAACACGTGCGGGGTGGGATAGATACTGAGAGAAGAAGAGGGAAGCAAGACGCACTTAAGGAACGACGACTTAAGGAAAGTTTTAAGACCAGAACAGACTCTTGTAGGACACAAAGAGGTGATCCCACAGTCTGCGCCAACTACCATGGAGTAAGCCTTCTTAACATCGCCTATAAGGTCTTATCAGGCGTATTGTGTGAAATATTGTATCCCATCTACAACAAACTGATCGGACCTTATCAGTGTGGCTTCAGACCAGGTGAGTCAACCATTGAACAGATATTCACCATGCGCCAAATCTTGGAAAATACTCGTGAAAAGAGGATCGATACACACCACCTCTTCGCCGATTTTAAGGCCGCCTTCGACAGCGCGAATAGGAGCTGCCTTTACAACGCTATGTGTGAATTTGGTATCCATGCAAAACTAGTAATACGGCCATATAAGCTGATGCTAGATAACACCAGAAGGGCAATCAGAATTAAGAAGGACCTCTCCGCGCCGTTCGGTACCACACGAGGTTTCAGACAGGTTGACTCTTTGTCATGTGATTTTTTCACTCTGATGCTGGAAAAAATAATAAGAGCTGCGGAGCTGCGTAGAGAAGGTACAATCTGCTACAAAACTCTACAGCTGCTGGCGTACGCGGATAATATTGCGAAGCGAATGGGTCTGGTAGTCAACGAGGATAAGACGAAATATCTCCTGTCATCAAACAAACAGTCATCGCTCTCGCGACTCGGCTCCCACGTCACTGTTGACTCTCATGACTTTGAAGTCATTGATAATTTCGTCTATATAAGAACCAGCATTAACACCAATAATAACGTCAGCCTTGAAATCCAGCGCAGCATCTCTCTTGCCAGCAGGTGCTACTTTGGACTGAGTAGTTAATTGAAAAGTAAAGTCCTATCCCGACGAACGAAAACCAAACTTTACAAGTCCTTCATCGTTCTCGTCCTGCTATATGATGCGGAGGCATGGGCGATGACAGCATCTGATGAGACGGCGTTAGGAGTTTTCGAGTGAATAGATTTGTGTGGGACTTGGTTTCCTTATCGTGTGACTTTTTTAATTTTTTGCTGGGGATCATAATATGAGCTTCCGAGTTGAGCAGAAAATACCAAGTGGTAAATTTGCATTTACTTTATCTTTATATTTAAAAAAAACTCGTGTCCGTGTGTATATTCCGAAATAACTCAAAAACAAGTTAACTATGTGTATGTTATTTGGTGTATATGTACATATATGTTATTTGATCCAACATAGATGATAGGATAGCAATTTTTTAATTAATGGTCCCATTAATAAAAAAACTGATCATCAACGTTTATTGTTGTTATTAATCGTAGGTTCCATAAGTCTGGAACAGAAGGAACAGATTCTTTACAAAGAAATATACAACATCATCCTTTGAACCTCAAAGATGGCTCCACACCGCAATGCGGTATAATTTTTTAGACTACACACTATACATGTCTTATTTGGCCTATAACACTTAACCTCGCTTCTTTCAAATCATTCTTCATGTTGTTTTCCTTCCGCACATTTCTAAGAATAATTTTTTCTTACTTCGAAATCGAAATACATTCACATTAAAAATTCAATTACTATTTTTAGTAAAATGCGACCCAAAATATCCAACCTTAATGCTCGTAGCAAGAAGACTCGATACGCACGTGTTGAAATTACTCATGAATCAGTTGAACAGAAAGCAGAAAGAAACGCAGGAAAAGTTGTATTGGCACCGCTCCCTACTCCACCTGAACCTTTAAAATCCCTTATTTCTGGCATTTCAAATGAATAAAAATTATTTTTGCGTAAGACACGGTATTTTTTTTCGCTTCCAAATGACATCGTTTGTGATTTGTCATCTGATGGTCGTAATTTTGAAACAACATTCAAAATTTAAGGCAATGGTATACTTGTCATAAAATTGGATCAATGATGCCAATGCCAAATGAACAGGGGTTTTTTATATTTTAAGTTGTTGAAACACTCAAATTTAAAAAAGAAAAAACAAGCGAGTACAACTCCAAATTGATCCAACAGCACAAGAATTTTCTAAGCAATTAATGGATCTTGGAAACGGTGAAATAGAATTTCATTAAGATAATAAAAATATTAGATTGCCAGATAATTTGTGTACTTTCGTTCAAACTAAAAATGAGTTGATTGAAAGTGTCTTCTCCGACATAATAATTAACTATTTAAATCATGGCTGGCTAAGTAATCGTGCAATTTCGGCAGCGAAAATGTTGATGTTGATTTGATTAACTACCAGATACAACAATTATTACCAGGTGATTTAACATAATTTAAGTATATCGATGCTTCTGTAGAAGAAGACGAGGCAGCCAATTTCCCAATTGAAAATTTAGACATTTCAGGAATGCCTCCACACAATCTTCGATTGAAAATCTGATCACCGATTATTCTACTGCAAAATTTAAGCCCTCAAGCTATTGAAACGGTCAATCAAAGGAATCACTGGAAACATTCTTGAAGCAACTATTGTAACAGCAAAGTTTAAAGGAGAAACAGTTTTGTTGCCAAGTATTCCGATGACACCATCCGGTTCTCCCATACCACTTCAAAGGCTACAGTTTCCCATTCGTTGAGCTTTCGCGATGTCTATAAATATATCTTAAGGCCAAACAATGTCTATTTGCGGCTTATACTTGGAAAACCCATGTTGTCCCATGGGCCATTATACGTAGTGCTCACGAGTAGGAAGAAGTTTATTTGTATTAACAAAGGACCAATTGACCAAAAATATTGTACATCGATTGGCAGTTCATTGAACAACATAGATCACAGTTGATGATTAAAGATATTTAGAGCATATATATCATATAAAAATATTTAAAGTATTATGTTATCAAATAAAATATAATGTTAATTTGTGCTGAAATCTGTCTTTCAAATTCTTCTTACATCACTCAGCCACAACAACGCGTGGCCGGGTCTGCTAGTACAAATATAATAAATAAAATGAGGTTTATCTCGAACACCATTTTACACCCATCCCATGCTATTGTGTTTTTTGTTCCTCTATGCGATGATTTATATGTTGTAATGTTGAAATTGGAGCAACGAAGGTAATTTTCATAAAAAACATTAGTAAAGAATTCTTTGATATGGAAAAACAAATGAATAGTTTTAGTTTAAACATTTTATTTGTATTTGTTTGTTTTACAATTAACATTAAAATGCGAGAAGCGTATTCATGGTTTTACTTAAATTATGTTATTTGTTTCATTATTTTTAAATATAATATATTTTCTATATTTTATTAATAGCTCTAACTAAAAAACATACGATTCATTCTAGTTCAGTTTCTAATTTTGCATTAAAGATTAAAAAAATAAATAAAATCAACTAGAAATATTAAATTAAACCTTTTTTCAACATTAATCCAAAAAAAAAAATAATAATAATAAATGCGTACAGTACACAGAATTGACTTTTAGGCAGTTTTTTTTAACTTAAAGTATATCTATTTACATACAAAAGTTATAGCTTAATACCTAATTTATTTTACTTTTCCTATATACATGCATAGCGTTCATGCAAAAATCTCCTGTTAATCCTTAAACAGATTTAGTACATCCACAAAGCGAAATTTAGTTGTATCTTCTATAAATTCAATTTTTAATCTTGTGTAAAAAATCTAATTAGGCGAATGAGCAAAGCAAAAAATATATTTCTCGCACTTTTCTTCTGCGAACATTTAGAAAAATTGACCAAAAATTGTTTATAATTTTTAACATTTATTTGTTGATATGCTGGTAATTTTACAATTCAGTTTGGTGGCTATTGCGAGCTTTTTTAATGCTACAATAAAATCACATAATACCAGCTCCATTAGACCTATTTAAATAATGTACCAGCATTTTACAGAAAAAATTCAATTTTTACTTTTTTAAATATGAACATATATACTTAGTAGAATGTAATTTTTGGAATGTTTGAGTAAAGTGAAATGAAATGAAAATAAGATATGCTTTCACGTCTTAAATAGCTGATATGGTAGTGATCATACATTAAATGGGAATATGTAAACATGATAACATGTGGTGGTGAAAAGGAAATGGGAGTCCCTCAACTTAGGTGCAACTAGTTTAGTGTATTAGTAACATAAATATTGATAAAAATGTTTATTGAAAGTGTTAGAATGAAATTGTTAGTAAGAATTATTTGAAAGTGATTAACATGAAATATAAATTTGTATTTGCCGAAATGCACCATATACTCGTATGATACATTTTACATTTGAAACACCAGCATACTTAAAACAATAACATCTGAAACACGGAAAATTAATGATTTTCTTATTATTTTAACTTAAAAACTAATCATTATATTATTATTTACACGGTGTTTGATTAACTAAAATAATGTGTATATGCAAGATTAATATAACATTTTTCTTGCATTTGACTATGTTAAATACTAATTTGCTTTGAATTTTGCTAAATGCTTAACGTCTAGTAATAATTAATTATTATTTTAACAATAAATTGTATATATATAGTGTTTTCTAACGTTTTAAGTAATTTACTTGATTAGACTGTTTAAGAGCCTTATGACATACTATGTATATTTTCTTGAGGTTTGCGTAAGTGCATGTGTTTCTACACTGACATTAACAACGTTGTTTGGTGAGTTTTTAGATTTGGTTGGGTTAATTGTTGTTGCAACAGTTGCTGTCGTGTTATTTTTCCGTTCAACGGACTTCGGATCACGATCCTCCTCGACATCTGTTGAGTCAACTGGTTTCCGACTAGACGCTGGTGGTGTCAACAAGCCCTCCGGATATAATAAGCCCGTAGCAGGTGATGCCTCCGTTCTGCTTTTGACAGATAAAATATGTTCTTGCAGTTGAGCGACACGATCCTGAGAAAGAGGAAATTAACAATTAATTTTTTTTGAATGAATGATGAAATAAAAATACGATGCAATGATTTAGCTAAGTTTACTTACAAACATTCCCATTGATATTGTATGTGTTTGTATTATATGTGAATCATCTGTTATAATATTCGGACAAATATGACTTAAACCAAAGCGATTTGTTACTTGATCGTTTTGCTCCATTAATGAGAGATATGTAGACTCTTCACGCACAATTTCGAAATATGGTTTCATCCATCGTGCACACGGTTCAATCGTTTGCCAATCATATCCAGAACAGCGCAATGCAATCTCTCTATAATAGAAGTATTATTTACAAAATGTCATGTTCTAAATAAATGCATATATAAATGTATTATGTTTGTAAGATTACCTATTGAAGGTGTGACTCATGGCTGCTGCGGCAATAATGGAATAACCATAATCTGCGATGCTCAAATCCAGTGAACAAAGGTCTAATAATTGAGCAGTTTGTACAAATTCCATTCCCGAAAATTGTGGATAAATGAATGCATCGCTAATATCTGCATCATCTGCTGATGAGGCGGATTTGTGGTTGTTAAAACTACGCTTAAGTGACGCAGGCGTTCTATTATTCACGCTTAACTGCATGTAAACACCCAGCCAGCCCATTGGAGTAACCGGATTTATACTCCACTCGAGCGTTTGAAGTAAAAGCACTTCATGTTGCAATATATCTGATTCCTGGCAAGCGCCATCTGTCACATAGGCGAATTCCCCAATTTTAGGTGGGTAAATTTCTTCAACTTTTGCTGCTACAAAAAGGCAAGTTATTCCAATCAATTGTAAATGAGTCTTCTGTATATTCTCTTGTGCGCTGAGATAACGATCCAAGTAGTCAACTGCCAAATAATATGTCTCCCGATGCAGTTTGTACACTTCGCACACTTCAATTAACCAATCTAAAAGAATGGCACGCATACGAGGCTGCAAACTGGGATGACGTTTTAGCATTGAACCCGAACGCAAACAAGCTGCTTGTTGATCCTTTTTGCACATCAGCTGCCAAACATCATAGGCATTGGCCCAGCTCAATGCTGGCAAAGGACATTGTCTTAATTCCTCTGGTTCTGCAGCTGGTGTCATACAATTGTACGGTGTACCTGTATACTCCTCGAACACTTTATCCATCTTTGTGCTGTCATTTGTTGGCGGCTTCTTACTGATATTGGTATTTTCTATTTCCTCACCAGGGGTGCGTTCACCCATTCGGTCGGCGACTCGGTTCCCATACACGTGATGGAATTCTTTAGAGCTATCCAGTGAGTATGTCGATGATGGTGATGTCGTCGCTGAAATTTCTTCATCGTCTTCTTCGACAGCATCATCGTCTGGATGTAAACTATTCGGGCTATCGGGTATACAATCAGCGTTTACCTCAAAATCGGTACCTACCGAAAGGTAATCACATGAACTACGCGTGTCAATTTCATCATCAAACGTATTTAGTGGCGAAGGATAAACGGATGATGACAGTGAGCTGATATCACTCTTATATGGCGACGGTCCTATTTGCTGTTTGCGCTTTGCCGACGGTGGCTCGGAGCCAAGATCTGGATCCTAAAATAAAAATTGCATTAATATCAATTCATTTTAGAGTTATGTCTACTGTAAACTATATGTAATTAAACTATATATTATCAAAAACGAATCACTATAGCGGAAGACCACCTTCTCCAATTTGTGGCATGCATCTTGATGTTTTCCAACAAATGGAGTAACCTACAGTTTATTCTAAGCCGCCTCCGATGGATTTTTAAGAGCAACTACACTCGGAGAACTTAACCTTCGCAGCCAAGACGCGACCGTAATTATAAAAATTAATATTCAATAATCTCGAACCCAAGCCCTCTAAATGGCAGTACGCAATGCTTACCATTCGACTATTGTGGCCGCCAAATATGTGTATAGATGGGTAGTAGTTCATCGGAACTACTATTACACCACATTTATACTGTAACGATTTCGAAGGAGCGTGTTAAAACACTACTGCAAAATCTGTATTGTATTTGCTAACTCGTTTCCTTTTTTGTAGCTTTTATCGTGATGACTAAACGATGCTTCAAACTAAGCTTTGGTATATTTCAGGAACACAAACAAACAACGTATAAAATTTACTTTTGTATAAACAACCCCTAAAATTTAGATACAGTATGTCAACTATTTCATCACACCTGGGTATCAGAAAAAGATTTTTGTGTGTAACTTTTTGTTTTCGTAATGGCACTCCAATTTTATTTCATATACAAAACAATTCGAGGTAATAAAATAAAAATAATATTTTTTAAGACACATCTTTGCTTTCTTAGAATTCCTAAAAGCAACGCCGCTGTACATTTCATCAATTGGTTGACATAAACAATTTTATTTTGCTTAATATTTATTATGACCCTCTTTTGCTTTGACAACTGCCTCAATTCGTTCGGGCATGGACTCGACCACCTTCCTGCAGAAATTTCCACTAATATTTTGTCAGTAATTTTGAGCCTTCTGCCATAAATGGATAAGATACTGGCACTCATCTGGTAAATCAGAAATCGCACGTTTGACCTCAGGTCTGCTGAGTCGAGTACTTTAAAGTTGTTGTTTTGAAGCCAAGCTTTGGCAGCACGAGAAATCATTATCTTGCTGGACGATGACGTCCGACACTTGCCTTACTTGCCCTACTTACCCTACACTTCTACGCTTCTGCACAAACCTTCCTGAAGGATATCAACATATTAGTTGGCATCCAGTCGTCCGGTAACCCCCTCAAGTCTCATACATCTAAACATAATTACACTATCCTTTCCAAACATCAACGTTGGCTGAACAACGCGGAGAGTCAAACGTTCACGAGGTTTTCTCCAAATCTATTGCCGCCCATCTTTTCCTAGCCGGTTTATTTCTTTTACGTCTCACCATATGACTCGGATCCAGTAATTTTGGGTGAAGGTTTTAAAATTTTTTGCAACTTAATTTACGGTTTCATTTTCTCAAGGATGGTTTTTTTTTACTTTGAGACGTTTGCGCAATCTGTTTTCCCGCATTTTCTTCCTGATAGCTTAATTTGTTACATTTATTCAACACCCTAGAAGAAATCACACCTGATTTGGCCCGCATTTTAACACACACCATGCCTAACCATGGGTCTCTCCAGTGTGGTATTATGACTTTCTTAGTTTTAAAACCACACCCACGGGAACACCAACAAGTCTTGGAACTTCTCTGTGTTCTGTGTTTAAATCAAAAAAGGCTTTTGATTTCTTCTATTTTTGTTCCATTTAGTTTTTTCATTTATGCCGAAAATACTGACGTTTTACTAAAACTTTATTCTAACAATTTCACCACTAATAATTATAGAATATATATATATATAGATTTATATATATTACGTCAACTAATAGTTTTCTACTCCTCAAAGTCAACTTATTGATCGCATATATTTTCAACCATGGTGAAATAATTTAAAGGTAGTTTCATTTTCTCTTCGCAGTTGGCTTCACAGCTAACTGACATTGAACATGTTCCCGTTTTTTTGTGCTACTCTCTTCTCTTAAAAAAAATCTACCATTTTTAAATAAAAAATATGAGAACAATTTTTATATATTTTTTAAATGTTCAAATATATATATTTTCCTACCCCTGATAGTGGACCTCATCGAGTGTATGCCTTTTATGATTTTTGCATTACAACTTTAGTAAATGGAGATGAGGAGCTGCCAGCATTTGCTATATCCACGTTGTAAATTGATCTCACAATTTTAGAGATGTTTCGAGGAAATTTTGTAAGCTAACAGGATATTGTTTTAATTCTTTTTACAGCAGCGATATGAAAAAAAAAAAAAAAGGCAATTCTTTCCATATTATTTATCTCTCCAGCAAACGGCTTGAAACAAATATTTTAATTCATAGTACCTGCTTACAAAGTTACCCAAAATAATTAAAACATCTCCAAGTTGAAAAATTTTTAGGTGTCAAGATCAAACATTTCTCAGCAAACACGTTTAGTGTCAAAAATTTCGAAATGAAACTACCTTATAGAATTTTTGTATCATGTTTACAACTATTCCGCACTTACTAACTGAAATTGCTAGGGCGATTCAAAAGTTATCCTTATATTTCTTATTCAAAAGTTTTTTTTATCAAAGATAGAATAAAATATAGTATTTGGAAATGGTATGTGATCAAATGTTGTTGTGTTGTTGGTATCAAGCGTTCAAGTCACTTTTTCGTAATTTTTTCATTATTTTTCAAACGAAATAATTTTTCTAACTGCAGTCACCCCTCGGTAGACAATGCCAAGCTCGAAATTCGAAAATTTAATTGGTCTTCTTCGTTAGTCTAGACTTACACATTCAAAATACTGAATGAACATAAAATACATAGCTATTTATAGTGAAGTTAATACAAGGTAAGTAAAGTCAGGCAGGGAATGTCAACCCCGCTGAGTATATTTTTGATATGAAATAAAGCTCCTCATAAAAAGCCATCAGTCGTTCGAAGGCGGCTTAGTATAAACTGTAGGTCCCTTCATTTGTTAGAAAAACATCAAGACGCAAAACAACAAACTGGAGGAGCTCGGCCGAAAATCACTCAAACGGTTACAAAGCTCCAATTATATATACGTTAATTCAGCACTAAATATGACATAATGTAGCTGGCGTTTGTCAAACAAATACTTGAAATACTATTTATTTAATTATAAATCCGATTGGCGACAAATTTGTTGCTTTTATGTAGACTGTTAACAAATTAAACGTCTGCGACAAAATAATCGACATAGTTATAAAATAATAAATACCACGTCTTTTCTCACATATATATTATTAAAAAAAATATTACTCATAAATAACTCGTTGAAATGTTTGAGTATTTTTTTGTAGACCAATTTTAAATAGCGTTATTTCTTTGCCTTTAATCGTTTCCACCTAAACTTATTCCGCTGCTTGTAATTTGAAACTGAAACCGATTTTAATTATATTATTTTGAAGCATCTACCATTTATATTTCTTACACTCGCTGTTTTCACTTTGTAATTGTTAATAGAAACTTAGGAAAATGGATTTCTAATTATGCAGATGTATGTATATGCCGCCCGTATGTTTATAAAAAAAAAAACATGAAAAACATTATATTTGTAACTTTACCATTTCAACCACTTTTCTTTTCCGATCGCACTTCATAATAACATGAACTACTTTGGAATCGAATGCTGCAAAAATCCACACAAATGGGTAAGCCAAGCCGAAGGATTATCCTTGAATGTGAACCGCAACAAAAAATAATAGTAATGTTGGTTGTAAATTAATCCAGTTTCGTATTCTTCAACACATATGTAAGAAGAAGCTCAATGGACCCGAATTCACTTTGTTGTTCACTTAAAATTAATATTCGTATCGATTTTAGCGTCTAACGATTATGCCCGATTGATTTTTGTACTTTTTGAATTTAGTTATTATGACTAGCCCTTAATTTGGTTGCAGAGTGTATCTTTGGTTTATTCATCACTGGGTTCAAGCACCTGTACGTTTCCCCGTCACTGTTTTTGGTATTTACTATTATTATAATATGTATTTAATTTGTAAACGCGGAAATAAAGAAAACGAAGTATAAATAAATTCAGAAGTACCCTTTAAAGGGTGTAACAATTTTAAAACTATATGTATGTATGTACTTTCACATGCGCACAAGTTGCGTACGCATTGACAATTGGTTTTGAACTGATCGTGTGCAGCGATCGTTGACGATATCCTGTGTGTGCAACGGTGGCGCAGTGTCGAAAGGCAGCTGCAAGGAAGGCTTGTTTGTTAGTTAAAAGCCAGCGGTCGATTTTAAGGGTATAAGAGTGAATGCATGTGTGTATATATGTATGTATGTAACGAAAGGACACACAAAACGAAAATTCTTCAATTCTCATTCCAGCACATAAAGAAGCGTCTGCGATGGCAGTGTATAATTGATATGCATGCATATGTGTGGGTATGTACATACACAAACATTTACACATATACATATATACGCAATACGCAAAGCAAGGAAACAATACATATATTGTACAAAGGCAATGAAAATAAGATATGGATTCTATGTGTTAGCCTTAAGGCAAGTATTTAAGATGTTTTGTAAGTGAATGCATAACAGTGCATGTACATATGTATGTAGGTAGTTTCGATTATTACGATCTAGCAGTTATAAAGCCAAAACCCCAAATAAAATATATTTTTTTTTTTTTTCAGAAAATTTGTGTAGATGTTATATCGATTAAAACCGTCAACTTTTTGCTGTCCATGAGGCAAAGATATTCAGGTAAACGAGCTAACCACATTAATCATGCATCTTTCTTTCAAAGAAAATAGTTTACTTTATCAGTTGAGGAATATTTTAAGGCGTGCTTATGGTGATGCGGTTTCTTGCAAACTTTCTATCTAAACTCACATGTACATATGTATGTATGAGTAAATTCAGACAAAGATTTTCGTGTTAGCATACTTACATCTGCGCATTTATACGTTCATTTAAGATGTCCTCATTGAATTGCAATTTATTTAATTCCTTTACTCTTTAACAAGGTCGAACTA